TTGGTGACAACTATTTCACACCACTAAACTTTCAACTTCTTTAGGTGGTTTAATAATCACTTTCCACCTTCCTTCCGCCATCCACTTAAAGGTCTACCACGGTACAAGACATTTAATGATTTGTCAATGAATAAATTGAATCGATACCCCGATTTCCCATTCCACTGCAAGCAAATAAAGTTGTGATAGAGTGGCCAGTGGCCCAAAATTGAACAAAAAAAAATTATAAAGTACACACGCACACACCAACTACCTCTTTTCTTTGTTCCCAAGTGTCTTTCAACAAAACAGACAACGAACACTATGGAAACCACCCAACGGGGAAATTTGCTTCACTGTCACTGAGGCTGTATTCTGTAAATTATTTCCCTGGATTTCCTTCCTCCAAGAGCTGTTATTTTTAAATACAAAACCTTTTATAGGAATCCCTTATATCCTTAGAGAAAGATGTTCCAGCATTTCAAACTCAGTGCCTCCTCCCCCTAAAATATCTCATTCACAGACTTTTAAGCTTTGAATTGCAGACACACCATTTATGGTGTCTAGTCCTCAAACCCTATGCTTTAAGAACAGCACTTCTCATGGGTTCCGGCAACCGTTATTTGTGCCATATGCTTCTATATGCTCCACTAGCAACTCCAACCAAGGCTGAAGCATCCCCTGAGCCAAGGCAAGACCATCATACTTTCTCTCAAGGAATGAAAACAGAGATTCTAGAATGTTGGTCAAAAGTCTATTGTTCTCAAACTGAAGCTGAGCTGGCCACTGTGGGCAGCCATTTTGAGCCATGTGCACAGGAAAGCAGCAAAAGCTGAACAGAAAGTACGGAGGGGAAGAAATAAAGAGCACCAGCAGAGAAGCAGAGATGGAGACCATAAAGCACCAGAGAAAAGAACTAACACACCAGCTGTCAGGGATGTTAAGGACTTCTGGTTCCTAGTATATGGCTCCCGTCTTCTGTGAACCAGAGCTACATTTCCTGCACTTGAGTCCTGAGAGAGATCCTGATCTTCGAAATACATTATCCTATTTTTGCTTAGTTTGCAACCATGAAATGTTCCACTGAGTAATGGACATTCCTGACATCATATGAGAAAGGTGGGCCAAAACTGTTATTGCTAAACAGCAAAGGAACAAACCTACTACTTTGCAACACATTTTTTTTTAATTCATAACTTGTTGCTGCTTCATCACTTTTCTTCATTGTTTTCAGGGGAAGCTTGATCTGTCTGTTCACAACATGACTCCCGTAACCCCTAATCCAGCCAGGGATTCTAACAATCAACCTTGTTAACAAATACTTTTCCTGCCAATAACAGTAGGAAAACATTAGCACAGCACTCCACTTTCTTCTTCAAATGTACTTAACTGACCCACTTCAACATTTGGGGTTTGTCCTTTTTCTTTTTCAGGCTTGAGAATTAATCAAGTGTGAACCAGACGATCCTACAGTTCAAAAGTATAAGTAAATGTAAGCCCCATGAGGCAGGGATTATGCCTGTTCACCTTTGTATCCCTAAGCCCTGCACAGTACCCCACACTGAGTAAGCACTTGCTGAAGAAATTAAAGGATGAAAAGAAGGACCATCACACTCAAGAACACAAACTCTGGTGTCGAACAGAACTGAGTTAGAATCCCAAAGCTTCCATTTACAGCTTTGGAACATTTATGAAGGCCCAGCATCCTGCTAAGAATTTCATGCACATTATTTTAATGCTCCTTCCCCTGAAAAGCTTTAAGATGTTGTTATTCCTCATCTTACACTTGGTGAAAAAGGAGCAACTTGCCTAAAACCACAAGGTTAAGCTCCCAACCTTTGTGATAAACTTTTTCTTACCACTGACTTCGTGACCTTGGGCAAATGACTTAATCATTCAATTTGCTAAAGATTGTGGTTCTGAAGACTAAGTCAGACAGATCGTGTTTGTGAAGTGTTCATTAGCACAGTGCCAGACAGAGCAAACTGCTCACCGAAAGGCAGTTACTATTATTAGAGTTACTAACTAGTGAGTCTACAGTGAGATGCTTCGAGCAAAAGGATTCTTGGTTCTAAAGAGTCATTTTCAAAATCTAGGCAGCCGAAGCAAAAGGAGCGAATTATAAAACCATTATTTTGGATGTGGTCTAAATTCTCCGAAAGGGAGTAAAGAAACCTTTTGACAGCCTGAAAGCAATGATCATGCTTGAAGTTAGGGGGCGCCATATTGCTGTACTACATTACATGCAACCGCGGTCTCCAGAGGGTCTTCAGCACCCTAGGACTTTACTCCAACGAAGTGAAGTAGATAAATTCTGACCCGTAATAACTTTTTTGGCAGGGAGGGGGAACTCCTTAGTATTTCTTTCCATACTCTTGCACAATTTCAATTTCAGTTCCAGTACCTTTTCCTATTTTATTCCTAATGCTGTTGCTATTGCTTCATTGAGATAAAGGGCATTATTACATTATTCAGTGACCTTTTAAAATCCAGGGAAAAAAGTATTTAATTAGGATCAAGACATGAATAAGCATAACCCCAAGAAATTTAAAGTACCTAAAAAACAACTAGTAATGTATGTATTGGCAGTTGTTGAAAATAGGTGATGGGAGCTCATTATACTAGCCTCTATATTTATATATTTGAAAATGTTCACAATAAAAAGTTACAAATAAATTCTTTAAATAAACGTACATATTCTGCCTTTTAAAAGTTCAGTTCTTGCTGAAAACCTACCTGAAAGATGTAGTAGGAAATTGGGTCTTATATCACTACTCTGGGAAGCAGCACACAGTAAAGCACGCAGTTGAAGGACAAGAAGTAAATAAAGTTAAAGGGGAACTAAATCATACAGAAATGGAATGTGTTTCTGCAGTACTCTAATAAGAAACTTCAAACAAGAGACCCAAGGCCACAGACATTACTAAAGAGATTTCTTTATATACAAGTAAATTAAACTTTAAAGGTTTTTTTTACTATAATTTAATATAATTTACTATAAGCCTCATTTGCATTTGGTTCTAATTGAGCATGGAATATCCCATTCTAGAGGTGATTTTTCTAAAGGGCAGAAACGAAGAGCTTTGTGCCAAAACAGCCAAAGGTGAGCTGGAAAATCTAGGTACGGGCAGATGTCTCTTCAGTGGCAAAAGGTGAATTTTCTCTTTTCCATTCACAGTCACCTCTGTTAACTGAAAGAGTTAGCTGAAAAGCTATTTGTTCTAACCAGAACATAATCCAAACTGAGAAATCACGTCTATAGATCTCTCTTTCCTTACCCAGACATACACAGTACTTTTCATTAAATTTGTGGAGTTAAATTCTAGCCTAAAACTTTACCACTGTTAAATCAAAGCTAAGTAAAAATACTTAATGTTCAAATACGTTAGTGATCTCTATCAATTCTGACCCTCCTCAGAGCAAATTCCATTCCTAACACCTAAGTTTAACAGAAAGTTTAAAAAACTGCTCTTCCGGGTTGAAGCTACAAGCACCTTTGCAACACGAAGGCTAGACATTCCCCTCTCCACCCCACCCCAGAAACAAGTGAGGTACAGAAGCAAGACTAATCAAGGCAGCTTTCTAATCCACCACCAAAAGGATGGAGAAAAAGGAAAAAAAAACCACTTTAATGTCAATCTTCTAAGTCCAGCTAATGCTGAATTTTCCGCAAATCAAAGTAAAAATTAGAAGGCATTTTCCAAGATTTACTTTTTTGTGTCTATTTGATAACAATGCTTTCAGATAGTCTGTTCAATGTCCTCCTATTTTGAAAGGTGTATGGCAATCTTCTCCTCTACTCCATTTGCCCACTCCAACTCTTTCATTTCTATACATTTCAAGTCTTCGCCTCTTGCCCTGTATGAAGAGTGTTCCTCTCAGCTTATGGGACAAAAGAGATGACTATGGTACGTTTTATCACAGGATCAATCTTAAAATGAGAAATACTACATATATGGTTAAAGAATGGTCCATAGATGAATGTTCACCTTCCTTCTCACTCTAGTATGTTTTGCCTCACTGTGTTCAAAGTTTCCTACAGTTCTGAGTGCCCCCTGACCAGTCCACAATAAAAGAAATGCAAATCACGCTCGGAACTGCCACTGGAAAATTGGCTGAATCATCATTTGTAGAAAAGGCTGAGTAGCTACACTACCCCCAAAGTAATGTACATGCACCAATGTCATGGTACTACACTTTCCCATATTTCTACCTAAATGTTTCCAAGATAAATTGCCACCAAGGGAGTCACTGCTGGCTATGGGAACAAAAACGTGATTTCTTCCCGGAGGTAATTGACTACCCTCCCCTGATCACTTAACTGGTTGTTTCAAGTGAATTTCCCCATCAACTAATAGTTAGGAAAGGGAAGGTATGGTGCAGGCTCAGCACCGGGAATTTTCACAATCAAGTAGATGGACTTAAGTGTCCTGGGTGCAACAAGTCAAAGGCAGCACTCAAAAGTGAAGAGACGCTAAACTCTTCCCACACCTGCCAAACTCCACAAACCAAACGCCACATTGCAAAATTGCGACTATCTCCAGATTCTTTAAGAGTGCTTTCCTAGGAATCCTCTCTGAAATCAATGATGGGCAATATGCGGTGGCTTTAAAGTAGACATTAAAGATCATGAGTTCACATGTGTTTTGGATCATACACAATGTTTCTAATAACCTGTCCGTCGTTTGGACCGTTGAGAACCTGCATGTCTTAAAATCAGACCCAAAAGCCACAGCTTGTCCAGCTTGCACCACCCATCAGAGCCATTATTTCAAAGTTAACAGAAGGTCATTATAATTATACACCTGAGTCCCTCAGCCCTCGGCATGGATTTTCGCTGGAGGTTGGGACGGGGCGGGGTGGGGGGAGGGTAGAACCAGACTGACTTCTTTCTTGCTCCTTGATTAAAAACTAAAGTTCGCTCGTAGCTCTGCGAAGGCGACAGACAACGGAGTCTGAATGTCCCCGGTCCCCGGTCCCCGCGGGCTGCAGCAGCGGCAGGGCGCCCGCGCGCGTCCTACCTTGGACCTCTCCTTGACGTAGTATTTGCCCAGCCGGCTCCCGCAGTACAGGACCAGCTTGTCGATGAGGGACAGAAGGAAGCTGATGGCTTCGCAACCCTCCTCATTGCCCCCAATCCACGTGATCTGGTCTCCCCGCAGGTGCCGTTTGGAGACGCCGGCGCGCGGCCCCGCCAGCTGGCCGTCCCGCAGTACTCCGTTGCTGTGCAGCTGCTTGACGCGCTCCAGGACGCAGTCGCCCACCACCTCGCCGAGGAAGTTGTCCAGGTAACAGAAGCCGACCTCGTGCAAACAGGGCACGATGTACTCCAGGGCGATTTTCTCCAGATCCAGCCTCATGATGTGTCCCAGGGGCATCTCGCCCGCAGAGCAGAGCTGGGGGACCCCCAGTGTGCACCCAGAAAGAGAGAGAGTGAGAGCGACCAACGCGCGCGCGCGCAGCCGAGGCGCAGGGAGTGGCCCGGGGTTCAGCTACCTGCGGCGGTCACGGTCCCCGAGCCACCGCAGCGCCAGAGAAAAGGGAAAGTTGCTCGAAACTCTGGGGAGGAAGGATCCCAGTCAGGGAGCAGCAGGAGTTGTGCAGAGCTCCAACACCCAGCGCCAGACTGGCCCAGTGAAGAGTCGGAGGGCTCCTTTTGGAGACGCGGAGCTACCAATGGTGTGGCGGCGGCCCCAGGCGGGGAAAGGCTGAGGTCCAGCCCGGCTGCCGGCCAACACCGCGCGTCACGGGCCCCGCCCAGGCTCCGCCCCGGGACCGCCTCCGGGACAGCCCTTCTCCCCGGCCCGTCACCTCTGCCCGGTCCGCCACTCTATGAAGGAGCCCGGCGGGCCGTGCGCCAGCCTCCTTAGTTTCTGACTAGGGGAGGGCCGGGAGAAGGACCGGTTTTTAGAATGGTATGATTTGCATATGTTTTGCATAAAATCTCAGAACAAACTTGAAAACCTGAATCCCAACTCTGAAAATGTAAGTGGAATTAACAGCATAGTTTACTGCCACATTCTGGGCTGGTCACCTCACAGGCTTTGAACAAAATAATAAACCAGTTATGTGTATTAAACAGTGATCTCGTTCTAGCTTTACCTGGTGCCTTTCCTTATTCCCTTTTCCTCCGCTGTTTGACACAGGTCTTAAGGTTCAAGCCACCTGACTGGGAGGAATCCAGTTTTAACTAAAATTAACAAACATTTCCCTCACCCCTACTGTGTTCAAGGCCCTCTGTGCTCAATGAAAGGGGATGTACACAATAAAGAAATGCTGGGTCATATCTGATTGAAACCCGAAAAGACTGTATATTTTCTTTGCTGGTTGTTTTCATCCACTTATCTTTCAAGCTTACTAAAATATGATGTTCTGAAAGTCTGCCTTCAAAATTAATCGCTTGCTCATGGAACAGCCAAGATAGACTGTATTCTAGGTCTCACATCTCACTATTACCAGAAGGAGCTGCACTTACATGGGAGGGATGAACATTGCCTAGAAGATTTTTTAGTCGTCCAAAGGTAAGCTGACCGCTTTATGGATTTGTTAATTCTCTTTCCTAATGAACACCAGAGATCAAAATCAGGGAAAAAAGATTAATAAATTCCATGTGAAGCCATTTCCATATTTTTAATTTTACATTAGCTTGTTCTCAAGTTCTTTAAGTTGATCAAAATAATGTGTGGGTTTTACGGGTTATCATTTATTTTGTACACAACCCCTACAGTTTTTTCACTTTTATTCTCCTTCCAATAACCCTCCCCTCTGCATCTGAGGGGAGAAATATGAAGGGAGGAATGCAACAAAGTCCAGGCCAAGAACAAGAAGAATAGGAGAGGGACGCTGCTGCCACAGGATGGAAATAGACAGAGGAATGTTCAAGAGGAGCCGTCAGTGGGAAACTTTGGTAAACTTTTAATTATATCGAGAGGAGTTTCTCTGCCAAGACGGTAATTAGTTGGCACCATTGATATGACCTTTCAGCAGAAGGTGAACTAGGGTAAAGGCTTGACTTGGCCAGTCTCAAGGAGCTGTCTAAATTCTCACAATGATGCTAAGAGTACATCCTTGGATCTCCAACGCCCAGCAGCTAGAAGTGCCTAATAATGCGGGCCCGGGTAGGCAGTGGCTTTTGGGTTTTGCCCCTTTAGGGACCGTTGTAAACCTCAGAAGTAGTCGTCTCTGAAGAGAGCCAGAATTTTAAACAGGGGAAATGACAGACAAACCTTGGTAGTGGGCTGAAATTTTTCTAGCTGAAGGTTCTTTGTAGACACTTTTAGGAATAATTAGGAGGGAAATTACACAGGACCAGAAATCTGAAGTAACAGGTAGAAGAGATATGTGCGTGTTACGTGCCATTTATTCGGCACTGAATCCTGGCAACCCTATGGATAAATGATGGCCACAATGTCCTGTCCTCAACAACCCTGCACATCTCCTCTAGACTCATGCAGTGATGAGTCAAATACAGAAAATCGCATACCCACCTCTCAGAATGAATATGTTGACTCAAGACTTTAAATCCCAGGACTGCTTAAATTTGGCTTACAATTCAAATAATATTTCAATAATTTTAAAGTAAAGTTCTAACTAGTCTAGTTGTAACCAGCATAATAGTCCATGACTAAATTCTGGTGACTAATAGCCTAAAGCTGTGCTAGATTACTTTGGTTCCAAAGTGTGGGCAGTTTAGAAGGGTATTCAATCCCTTGCTGCCATCCCTGCTTGGCAAGGACACTGATTAATCAATCAAGGGCCTCCCAATCAGCTTGGGGCTGCCAGCACTGCACTTGGCTGAGGAGCCTGAGATACCGTGACTGGCAAAAAGCACAGTGTGTGATTACACGGAGGGGTGCAGACAGACTGGAGCCGTGAACGGGCTCTGAGCCTGAGCATCAGAGAGGCAAACCCCAAGCTAATTGTTCAAGTGCATTTGTTGTAGTTATTTGTCCATTAATTTATGTCATTGTAATAATGAATACTAAAATACATTTCATACTAATAACTAAAACAAATTCATTTCCCTATAATTTAATTACAACACCATCTTTCAGTGTATATCTGCAGTACAGATGAAGTCATTTTCAACCATGTAGATAAAACAAGGAGAAAAGAAGGATGTTAAATTTTTGGAATTTGAACTGAAAGGGATTCTAGTCATCACCAAATCCAAATTCATTTTGTTACAGATGAGAAAACCAGGACTTAGAAGGGCTGGATATTTAGTAGCTTTCTCACATAAGGTCTCTGGTGGGTGGAAGAGGAAACCTAGAATGCTCTGTCTTCTTAACTAGAATAAAGGGAGCACTCACTCTTGTTCTATTTATGTATATATGTTTATTTTTATGGGATAAAATTTACAAAACATAAAAATTAACCCTTTTAAACTGAACAATCCAGTCATACAACCACTGCCACTCAAAACATATTTACCACTTGAGAAGAAAACCCTGTACCATTAAGCAGTTACTCCCCAATTCCCTAGCCTTGATAATCACCAATCTGCTTTCAGTCACTATGGATTTATCCATTCTGGATATTCTCTATAAGTAGGATCATAGGATATGTGACCTTTCATGTCTGGTTTATTTCACTTAATAAAATGTTTCCCAGGTTCATCCAGGTTGTATCTTGTATCAGTACTTTGTTTCTTTGTATGGCTGAGTAGTATTCCATTCTATGGATAGACTTCATTTGTTTATCCATTCATAAGCTAATGGACATTTGAGTTGTTTCCGCCTTTTGGTTATTGAGTGACTGTTTTCAATTCCCTTGAGTATTTACTTAGGAGTGGAATTGCTATGTCATATGGTAATTCTATGTTTAACTTTTTGAGGAACTGCCAGACTGTTTTCCAAAAATGCTGTACCAGTTTACATTCCCACTAATAATATGAGGAAAAGCCATCACAGCCTTTTTTATTTCTCATGAAAACTGTCTATATTTCTTCTGCCCCTTCAATGTCCTGCCATACTTGAGGCTGCCTCCCTGAGTAGTCTTTTGTGTTTTCGCCTTGCCGTATCATCAACAGATTATTATTACATTGTATGACTTCAGTGTGGGCAAGGGCTATCTTATTTATTAATTTATCAAACAAAAACTTTGTAACACCATATTCTAGGCACGCTGCTAAAAGTTGTACAAACATTACTTTGCTTCAATTTGATAGCATTGCCAAAAAATAGGTACTATTATTATTCCCCATTGTGAAGATGACAACAATGAGGCATAGAGCAGCTAAAGAACTTGTCCAAGATCACATAATGAGAGAGTAGTACAATGATGGACAAAATCTGAAAGATTCCAATGTGGTAAGATCAGGGGGAAAAAATCATTTTGAGCCACTTGCTCGGCATTGCAATGTATACTCTCTCTCTCTCTCTCTCTCTCTCTCTCTCTCTCTCTCTCTCTCTCTCCACCCCCGTCTCTTTTTCACTCTCTCTTCATTATAACACTCTCACCTGCAATGACAATTTTAAGTTTCCTTACTTAACAATAGTTAATGCAAAAGGGAGATAAGCAAAGCTTACCGTAAATTAGCTGACTATATTAAGAAGAGTCTTCTAAACACAAATTAGGATTTGCTCCTTTTTCCAATCCAATCATGGCCTAGTGTTTCCAGGAATCACACATTCCAGTGATGTACAGTCTACTGAAAGTAGTCGTTGGTAATGAACCACACCTCAGTCTGCTGGGTTGCATGGCTCACCTCTCAGGACACAAGAAGAACATTTAATTTAAAGGGAGCTGGTGAAACAAGAGGACAGTGCTTGAAGGGAATTTATACTTGAGTTCTCTGCCATGAATTGGGCATAGCAGTGAACTGAGAGGGGCATGACTTTGTAGAAAGAGGCATCTGATTATGTCCCATTCTTTGTGGAGTCCAGCCATCTTCTTTCTTTCTAAATCTAAAGGATGGCAAAGAAAGTGACTTTCTATATTGGTTCTTAATTATTTCTAAGCATATGGACAAGTTTAAGCATCTCTCGTTAGGTCTTTGATAAGTCTGGCCATGTACAGATTCTGGGAAGTGCAAAATGTCAGGAATATTCATTAATATTTTCCAATTCAACTTTTATTTAAAGTGAGAATGTCTAAAAAGCATTTGCTGTGGCTAAAAACATGACAAAAACATGGCATCAATCATAAAAATACAGCAGTGTCAAGTTTATATTAATATGGAGTAACTGAAAGAACCTTTAATTCTTAATTTTATAAAGGCTTTTACAAAGTTTTTTCCATTCATTAGAATTTCACATCTTAATGTGTCTTATTTAAAATAAGCTTTTTATTTCAGAATAGTTTTCGATTTACAGGGATGTTGATAAGATTTATATAGTTTCTTTTATTGATATGTGACCGTAGTATGATACATCTGTCACAATTTATGGACGAATATTGATACATTATTAACTAAAGTCCTATTGTATTCAGATTTCCTTTGTTTTTACCAAATGGCCTTCTTTTCCAGTATCCTGGTGAAACTGCACAGTGCTTAAAATTAGTTCATAATGTTTTCAGGAAAGTATGTGCCAAGTCAGTCTTTTCAGCCCTTTAGCTCCTGCAGAGAGATTCCCCAGTGTAGAAAGGAATGGATACTGACAGAACATGGCTCCTTCCCTTCCTAATAGCCCACTGTGGTGGCTGACACTTGGTGGCACCACTGGGAGGCCCTCTCTGTATAGCCAGGGGTCTCGGGTTCAGGTTCTGATCCCTC